ACCGGGGAAGGTATTTGGTGATAAGCTGATAAGATTAAGACGCTATATAAAAGCTCATGGTGACCTCATATGCATTAAATAGGGTTTTCAAGGCTGTGACCTTTTGGAGACAGATCACCAGGCTTTTCTTCCAAAGTGCCTCTGGCTAGACTTAAACGGCCAAGCTTTCAGTTAATAGTGGAGCACTGGTCGCCATCAGTCATAATCAACTTGACAACTGGTTATTTTATTTTTGGTGTATAACCCTCAAGTCAGTCCACAGATGTTTTTAGAACTTTCTCATGTGCAGAGCTAGGCCTCGTTGGGGATACAGACAGCTAGACCTGGCCCCTGGCCTCAAGGGGTTTGCAATCAAGCAAGATAGGACAGAGGCTCTTGGATGCGATGCACTTGCATCTGACACGTCACATGATCTTTTTCATCATGGTGGCAATAAAGGACCAATGCTCAGACTAGTAACGTATTTCCCCAGGTTCATTATAGATGATAAGCGGTGGAGCCACGATTCGAGCTCAGATCTGGTCTGATTCTGAAGCATGATGTTCTTTCCAGTATTCTCTACCGTTATGGAAACTGAAAGCTAGGGGTATATATAAAGAAGAAAACCCCAAAAAAAGCCAAACCCATTGCTGCCAAGTCAATTCCGACTCAGAGTGACCCTACAGGACAGAGTAGAACCACCCCATAGGGTTTCTAAGGAGTAGCTGATACATTCGAACTGTTGACCTCTTGGTTAGCAGCCAAACGCTTAACCGCTACTCCACCAGGGCCCTGTATATGAAGAAGAGAATGATGGAATACATGTGGGGCTGAAGCTGAATGCCCTGGAGGGGTAAGTGGAAGCTTTTTAGGAGAGCTGGGAGGTGGCACTCAGAAGGATGACCTCCTATCGGATGGCAGACAGAGAGGAGTCCCTGGACAGGGCAAACAGTCAAACATTCAGCTGCTACCCAGAAGCACCTCGGAAAGGAAGACCTGGCAATCGACTTCCAAAAAATCAACCATTGAAAATGCAGTTCTAATCTGGCATACACGGGGTCGCCATGAGTCAGAATCGACTCAAGGGCAACTGGAAGAAAAGAGGCCTTTCCAGACAGGTGAGCTGGGTAAGCAGAGACTTGGGCGTAGGAATAAGAATGGTGTGGGCTGGAGGCAATAATGGGGAGGCCTGCATGAAGGAGTGGAAGGTGTTCCTTGTGCGCCCCTTCTCTCTCACCTCAGGTCGGCTGAGGAAGGGCGAGCCAAAAGCAGAGGAAGGTCGTACTGACAGGACAGGAGCTCGGCAACCAGCCTTCCCCACAGGCTTACCTGGAGTCACTGCCGGAGGCGCAGGCCAAAGCTCTTGAGGGGCCTTCTCAGAAGACCCTGCAGGAGGAAGGGCAAGGGAGCCAGGTGGTTTTCCCTGCGCTTTGTGGAATCCTGGCCACTTTCAATTTACATAACACAGCTTAATCCACAGAAACAGGAGCTGTAAGGCAGGTTCTTTCTCTCTCACTTTTTTTTCCCCTCTCTAAGACACGGAAACCTTTATTTTCTCCCCATACCACAAACCAGTGCTGTTAAATAATATTGGATAATTGCACCTGTCGTACTTCCCATATTGTGCTGAGGAAAAATAATTGCTGGTTTTCTGCTTTGCAGTTTAGCTGTGACTCCGTCATTTGACTCGGAGCATGTCATTTTCTCCCATTTTACACTGTGTACAGTGGCACGCATGAAAGGACTCACAGATAACGGCCCTGCGTGTGTGAGTGGGCGCGGGCCTCATTCAGCCATGATGTCTAATTTATACAGCATTGAAAATCCACAGCTATAAATAAACAGCTCTGGCTGGCTTTGCTGCCTACTCAAATGCTTTATTAAAAAAAAAAAAAAAAAAGCAAAAAAGGTGCCGCCAACTCCAGGAGAAATGAAAACAAGACCGCCTGCGTATGGACTCGGGTTTCTGACACTGAGGCCTGGGGTGGAGGGGGGCGCACCCAGACTTGGGGCGAGTCCAGGGCTCAGCCTGGCGGCCCCCTGGGAAGCCTAACTCCCTCACTCCTTCCTCAGCCCCCTCACTCTCCCCACGTGTACCCGCAATGCGTTTGGGGATTACAGTATGTGAAACTGGCTTCCTGTTATGACAAGTATTACAAGCGAGTAGGTGCAGAGAAGCTGAAATAGCGTGAAAAATGTACGACCCTTTTCGGGGGTGGGGGACGAGGTTAGTATGTTGCTTAGGCAATCAAGATAAGTCTTGTAGTAAATTCAAAATTGATTTCACGTGTGCACATGTGCAACGGTGACACGGGACCACAAACACAGCCATGGGCAGGGGTGTTAGGGCAGGGGTGCCGCCCCTCCCTCTGCCAGTAATGGAGGATGGAGCCCTGGTGGCGCAGTGGTTAAGTGTTTGGCTGCTAACCAAAAGGTCAGCAGTTCGAATCCACCAGCTGCCCCTTGGAAGCCTTATTGGGACAGTTCTACTCTGTCTTTATAGAGATGGTAACCAAAAAATCAGTTGTTATCCAGTTGATTCTGGCTCAGGGTGACCCTGTGTGTGTCAGAGTAGAACTGTACTCCATAGGGTTTCCAATGGCTGATTTTTCAGTAGATCACCAGGATTTCTTCTGAGGCACTTCTGGGTAGACTTGAACCTTCAACCTTTTGGTTAGCAGTTGAGCCCGTTAACTGTTTGCATCACCCAGGGGCTTGTACGGTGATCGTTTCCACCAATTTGGGGTCCCTGGCTATCTTCTTTTGTTCAGCCTTGCAGATGCGGGATGCCTTTTTGTTTTTTTAAAGATTTTCAATGTATTAGTCACTGCTTTGCTCTGCAATAAAGAGGAAGGAACGTGGTCTCAGGATCATCTGTCTGTGTAACCTTGACCCTGCCATCTACTGCTTCTGAAACCAGCGGTGTGCTGAAGTCCCAACTCGGTGCTCAGTGACATCATGTTGGTGGCATGAAAAAGGCCAGGGTGGGAGTATTTACATCATGGAAATTGGCAAACACTATATATCAGGGTTTTGAAGATTTTACTTCCAGAGGGTTGATCTGAAACTCAGTTTGCTCGTTAGTAAAGTGAGGATATAATACATTTTCTACTTACAATGTTTTCATGAGGATAAAATGAGTTAATGGAGGTGAACCAAAAAAAAAACAAACTCAAACCCGTTGCTGTCGAGTCGATTTTGACACATAGCGACCCTATACGACAGAGTAGAACTGCCCCATAGGGTTTCCAAGGAGTGGCTGATAGATTCGAACTGCCAACCTTTTAGTTAGTAGCCATAGCTCTTAACCACTACACCACCAGGGTTGAGTGGTTGTAAACTGTATAACACTATATGAATATTATTGCAGCTATCACCATGTGGCTCTTATTCTTATTTTATAACTACTAAGGGCCTCACACAGCCCTACATAGGCAGCAAATACTATATACCTTTTAATGAATGTCTAATCAATGTTCATTATAGGTGTTTTGTTGCACACCCTTTATGCTATAGCCGCACCGAGGAAGCGCTTGTGTGCTCTATATGCACCGGGTAGGAAGTGGTTCTGAGTATTTCTGGGGTTGGAATAGCTACCACACAGTGGCCAGCCATGCAGCAATCAAGTTTAATTGGCTCCTGGGGACAGTGGCACCACAAATAGAAATCTGCAGGCTCCTCCCGGCCAAGGGTTTACTATGACTCTGAGAAGGATGCAGCCCGAGTCATCTTGGGGGTGTGGAAAATTTGGGTGATCCCCTGCGGTTTTCACATTTGGGGAATTTCCACGGTGACAACTGCTTCTGGGTTCCTGTGGAGAGCAGATGCTCAGAGCAGCCAAGAGGCAGCAGGTGTGGGGAAAAGAAGGTGGTGTTCCCAGCTTAGTAGGAAAAAAAGACTTGTGGCTCCTAGTTTACATGACAGCAGAAAAGGAGTGAGGATTGAGCAGGTTTAGTGGGGCCGGCCTAGTCTTCCCTGGCCCTCGTCTCTACCCCTTCAAGGCTGTTCTTGGTATCCATTTTCACTAGACTTCTTTGGTATCATGGTGTTTGATTGAGAAGCCCAAGAACAATGGACTCCGGAACTGACACCCCAAGACAGTTGGGGCCGGTGACACGCTGGTAGACTAAAACATGTTTATCCACCATTAAATGTTTGACATTTGTGTTCTTCAAAAAATGTGGCTATAAATAAAAGCCCAGAAAAATCCACTAGGAAAACGAAAGCAGGGTTCGTGAAATGTGCTTGTTAATCACATAACAACCAGTTTTGTAAAACCACAAACCAGCTCAACGAAGCACCGCGTAGCAAAGCTGTCTCAGCAGTCATTGTAATCACATCGCCTCCTACCCAGATGAGTCCCCAAGTATAAAGTGTAACATTTATTTGGTGAATAATCCTGGTTCAAATGGAAGCCATTTTGATAATGTCACTACGTTCAATGTTTATGCTTGTTCCAAATGCTTGCTTAAAAGAGGGACGTAATTCTCAATGTGTTTTATAAATTATTTTCTCATTGCCCCAGTTAATTTGCAATTATACCAGGTAGACTGACAACATCAGTACCACCTCCCTCCCTATATTTCTATCTAGATTTAGGAAAAAAAAAGACAAGCAACCCATAAAAACAATTAGCTTACTAAAATGCAGGCTTCTTAAGGAAAGTTAAGATTATGGCACTAGACTGGGAGTTAGAAGACTTGGGAGATGGAAGCTATCGTCTTGGTTCTGGCGCTAACTTTTTGGTCTCACGCAAATAACTTCTTACTCAGGAGCCTTGGTATCCTACTATCCTTCTCCGTAAGGTGAAGTATTTGGAGGATTCCAGGTTCCTTTTTCTCTCTAGATAATTCTAACACTGAGTTTATGTGAGTTTCTTTGGTCTTTGACCCAATTTTGACCACAGACCATCCCCCCTGGTGGTCAGACCAAGGTAATACATTCTGAGATGGCAGGAGTTGTTTTCGGAGTGTCCTGGAAAGCTTTCAAAAAACCAAGAGTCCTCAAATCAATCTACCTTCATCACCCTCTTATTAAACTTAAATATCACTTCCTGTCCGTTCTATCTTTCTCTGTTGCTCCCCCAACCAGAAAGAGGGAAAAAAAAAAAAAAAAAAGGCTAATTCTGGCATTTTCTTCTTCCTTGGTCTTTGGAAAACAATGTGCAATCACTTCTGCTTCTGCCTCCGCGTCTGCATTATGTCACCTGTGCAAAGAAGAACAGAGAGAGACTTCAAACTTCAGGGTTTCCCTAACGGTTCTTCTTGTGTGGGTGGAAAGTCATCCTGACTCGAGGCAAAGGAAAATGAGGACACTTTTCCCCAGGCAAGACAATGTACTTTAACAGGTTTTGAGAAACAACTGGAATCTCTGGGTAGTGCACATGGTGAGTGTGCTTAGCTGCTAACGGAAAGGGTGGAAATTCGAGTCCACTCAGGTGTCTCAGAAGAAAGTCCTGGTGATCTACTTCTGAAAACTCAGCCACTGAAAACCCTATGGGGCACAGTCCTACTCTGACACACATGGGGTTGGCATGAGTTGGACATGACTCCATGGCAACTGGTTTTGGTGTTTTAAGAACAACTACCATATTTTTGAGAAAGATGTGGCAGTCTGCTTCCGTAGAGATTTACAGCCTTGGAAATCCTACAGGGTCTCTATGGGTTGGAATTGACAGCAGTAGGTTTACCATATTTTTACGCTAATAATGCGTATGTCATGTGTGTTTTTGCCAACCGCAACCCCCCCATGAGATACTTTCCTGAGCATGCTATGCTAATTTTATTTTACAGCGACGTGTAAAAAAATATTAGCATAGCGAGCTTAGGAAAATACCTTGTGGAGGGAGGGCACAGTTGGCAAAAAGAACGAATAACGTGTTATTTGCATAAAAATATGGTACCACTACCACAAAAGCAAGAAGCAACTCTGGGTTCTCCCTCAGTGCTCTGCTCAGTTAGCCATTAACAAATGATGCCCTTTGCCTCCATGTAGCTCCGTGTATGGAATATGGGGCCCTCATTGCTGGTGCTTTCAATGAGTGTCTGCAGGTTGCACATAGTCCAGTGACAGACTTTGAGACCTTGCATATAGAAACAAAGACATCCCATCAAATAAGAGGGAAAACAGAGTGGATATTCACCTAATTAAACGTCATTCTGAGACCTCTATCCAAATCGACCTACCAGCCATGATAAAAAATAGTGACATAAAGATTTGCTTTTAGTAAGCTCCTCATAGGGGCTTTATTCTACAGAAATTATAGCATTCGATTTCTAGAATGATTCAGTCAACAAGTTGCTACCTCCATGTCTTAGGCTGGGTTCTCTAGAGAAGCAAAATCAGTAAAGCGTATAAATATATATATATAGAGAGATTTAAATCAAGGAAATAGCTCCCGCAATTGTAGAGGCTAAAATGTCCCAAGTCCACAGATCAGGTTAGAGGCCTCTCCCAGTTCACCTAGCCACAGAAGCTGGTGAACCCAAGGTCAGCAGGTCAGAGAGGGGCTCCCGCTCACAGGCTGTGAAGGTCAGTGAATTCCAAGATCAGCAGACAAGACAATCAGGTTTCTCCTGATTCATGTAGCTGCAGGGGCTGGCGAACCCAAGTCAGCAGGTTGGGGAACTGGAGTCTTGCTTGCAGGCTAAGAAGTTCGACGAATTCTGAGATCAACAGGTAAACTGCTAGCTCAAGTCCCACGAACCGGAGGTGAGACAACAAGAGGCAGCTGCTGAGTCTGGAACAAGCCAAAAACCTTGGCAAGGCGAGCAGGCAGAAGGTAACTGGCGGAAGTCAGGGAGATGAAACTGAGAGGGCGGTGAGCTGCCACAGGCCCCGCCTCCGCCAGTACCACTCAGCAGATTCCATCATGGGGGTGATCACAACATTATACAACTACTAAAACACGGAGAATAATGGTCTAGCCAAGTGGACATACAATCTTAACCATCACAGTCCACCGCTTGTCAACTTGGCTCCTGTACACATCTCCTGAAACCATACATAATCTCTGAATAAAGATGATTACAAAGTCATACTTGCGCCTAACATGATACAACTAACACACATACAATCGAAAACGCACTAGCCCTGTTTACATCTTATATTTTATAAGTGAAGGAAACAAAAATATTAGATGCACACATACAAAACAGAAATACTTATAGCAATTACAGTTCCCGTTTCTGCAACTGGTCACGTGGCCGTAACTGGTATTTAGAACTACCTTCTTCCACCACCCATTCTGTATTCCCTTTGCCCTCAGCAAGCACCTCAGCTGGTTGTGGTTCTTTGCCTGGTGGGGTGACCCAAACCTTCATTCCTGAGGGGTCTGGGTCATTAGCAGTCATGTTGGAATTAGGTTGCTGTAGTTTTCCACTGATTTTAATCACAGGGCACGGTAGTACTAAGAGACGCCATAAGGAATCTCCTGCATTCCAGACATACTCTACCTCCATTATGTAATACCAATCTGATTTCCTCTTGGTAATCAGGATCAATCACACCAGCCAGTGTGGTAACTCCCTTCTTTGCCTATTGATCCAGAGGCATAAGGATCCCAAAATGGCCAGGTGGCATTCTTAACTTCCAGTTCAATGGAATCAGTGATGTATCTCCAGGTGGGAGCATTCCTCCCTTTGGAACTAAGACCTCTAGGCCTGCAGAGCATAAGGTCGAGGGGACAGGAAGCAAAAATCTTGCAAGTGGGTCACTAGGGGTAATAGTGAGTGGTGCCACTCCCATTTCCACCCTTTGATTCCTGTACCCGTGAATCCTGGCTATGGGAGAAACAGCATCAGATATTGGATGCTGGTTTAAAGCATATACAACCTCCTGGAGAACACTGCCCCAATCCTGCAAGGTATTGCCACCTAGCTGGCACCATAATTGTGTCTTTAGAAGGCCATTCCATCGCTCTATCAAGCCAGCTGCTTCAGGATGATGGGGAACATGGTAAGACCAGTGAATTCCATAAGCATGGGCCCACTGCCGCACTTCATTTGCTGTGAAGTGAGTCCCTTGATCTGAGGCAATGCTGTGTGGGATACCATGATGGGGGATAAGGCATTCTGTAAGTCCACGGATGTTATTTTTGGCAGAAGCTCTGCATGTAGGGAAGGCAAATCCGTATCCAGAGTAAGTGTCTACTCCAGTAAGGACAAAATGCTGCCCTTTCCATGATGGAAGTGGTACAATGTAATCAATTTGCCACCAGGTTGCTGGCTGATCACCTCGAGGGATGGTGCCATATCCGAGACTCAGTGTTGGTCTCTGCTGCTGGCAGATTAGGCACTCAGCAGTGGCTGTAGCCAAGTCAGCCTTGGTGAGTGGAAGTCCATGCTGCTGGGCCCATGCATAACCTCCATCCCTGCCACCATGGCCACTTTGTTCATGAGCCCATTGAGCAATGACAGGAGTAGCTGGGGAAAGAGGATGACTGGTATCCACAGAACGCGTCATCCTATCCACTTGATTGTTAAAATCATCCTCTGCTGAGGTCACCTTTTGGTGAGCATTCACATGAGACACAAATATCTTCACTTCTTTGGCCCATTCATAGAGGTCTATCCGCATACCTCTACCCCATAAATCCTTGTCTCCAATTTTCCAATCATGTTCCTTCCAAGTCCCTGACCATCCAGCCAAACCATTGGCCACAGCCCA